AGCTCATGTTTCTGTCTTTAGAGCAGAAAGATCTCACTCATTTTTTTCACCAGGCTGTAGATGGTGACCTTCTGTCTACATAGAATACAGACGAAGACAGGTCAGCTTCATTATCCAAGTGCTTGGGGAGCAGTGCTGAAGGGATGAATTCCCAGGTCATCCTAGGAATGGCCAGTCTCTAAAATAAGAATGGGTAGGAGCTGGAAACACAACACCTGGGCAGTGGGAAAATATCACTTCATTGTCTCCTTTTAGATCTCAGATGGATGCATGTTTTCTCTTGTTCTTTGTGTTTCCCTGTCGTAGACTGCAGAAGAGAGAGAAGGCTAAGGTTTACAGGTGGGAGAAGAAACCATCATACCCTTCCCATGTCTCATTTTAGGACTTAAGAAACTACGGAAGGGCCAAACTGAACAGTTTAAATCACTAGGTGATGCACATGAGATGATACTCTCTGGGGTTTTTGGGTAGACCCTTAAGTTTTTGAGTCTTGTGTTTACAGAAAGGCCACACAAAGTCACTGTTGTTAAGCTGTATGTTGGGTAGGGGTGAGGAAAGTAGGCCAGCAGTGTTCAATTTGAGTTTTGTAATAATTAGTTTTGAAGCCAAAGATGCCCCCAAACAAAGTTAGCTCTGTCAAGTGAAGTTTGAAATTACATGGAAGTTTCAATGAACTATTCTGACTGGGATAGAGTAGCAAAAAAGTGGAAGAGAAAGGAACAATTGCCTTTGGTGGTAGTCCTGACCAGAAGTCTCTAATGCATGCTGATCAAAAGGGCTCACTGTTATTTGGGCCGGATTGGTATTTTCAGGCTCCTCTACTAACAAAGTATCTTGTCTTGACAGTCGAATTTGGTAAGCCTCTCCTCATGTGGAGGGCCTGGGGCAGTAATGTTGTAGGACCTGGGGAATCTTGGAGCTAGAATGGAGTTGAGAGATGATCTCCAATCTCTTGGTTTTTAACAGAAGAAGAAACTAAGCTGAGTCACCCATTGGTTAGTGACAGAATTAAGACAAATAGAATCCAGGTTATCAGTCTGGTAACCAGTCTTTCTACTACAAATCTTGCCACAGTGGGAAGGTTTGGGACCACCATGCTTACTTTCTTTCTTGGGTGTTGAAATGAACAGTTTGGGGGTCTGCATCTTAGTGACTTAAATCCTTAAACTAGAAACACTGGTTTATGGACGGGAGAAGAAATAATCCTCTCCCTCCCATGTCTCTTTTTAGAGATTATGAGCCTGAGGGAAATGCCAACCTAGGCACTTAAGGTCTCTTTAAAGTAGAAACACAGTTCCTTGGCCCAAGGATCACACCAGCATATGTATTCCAGCAGAGTCTGCAAGATTGATGCTATTCCCACTGGTGGTGTAGGAGGAGACAGGCCATTCATATCAGCGCTACCCTTTCTTAGATGTTTTCGTCAGATAAACCTTGAAGTCATCTCCCTGTTTCCAATACAGAATCCACGACTCTTCTAAGAAGAGGAGGCAAATCAAACAGCTGGGAACTCAGAGCCTTCTTTAGGCAGGGTTAAGACACCAACAAAGAAAGGGAGTCCCTCTGCTTGTAGCATTGTCTACACCCACAGAGCTCCGTACACTTATTTGTACCTATAGAGTAAAACGAGCCTAGAAATACCTGCCCCACAATAACTTATCTTAATTTTTCCTTGGTTATTTTGTGTGTATGTTGAAGGAAGAAAGATGGCCAGTTTGGGAGAAAATAATTCCACTGTGGATGTTAGTAGGAGGTAAAAGGTGGGATAATGTTCCTCCCACACTGGGAAGTACAAACTATAGATTTAAACTAGGAGAAAACAAAGAAGAAATGTTCAGTTGCACTTTCTCTGAAAAAAAAGTCAGGACTTCTTTCTGAGCCAAGTTCCAACACATGCTTTGCCCTTAACCTACTAAGAGGAAGGGGATTACCCAGAAGCTACAACTGAACTAACTAACTGCACCCAGTGGGCAACAAAGACATTATATTTTGTGCTTGAGTCATCAGCATCTATTGACTAGGGCAAGATATAATTCCGAACCTGCCAAATTGAGGGCAGCTCCCACCACCCTGGGCCCCACCATAGATGCTCCAGTGAGATCTATCCTGCTTCCAATGGCTACACTATTTTCTTCTTTATTTTTAAAAAATTCTCTTAAGACTTTGTTTTTAACTCAAGAACCACTCTTGTGACTATTCTCATAGCTGTCTGGATTCTCTAGCTTTATGGTACTGTAGGGAAGGCTGAAGTTCCCCACACTACAAAGCAAGATTAACTGACCTACTGACAGACCAATGCGGAGATACTCCTACCAAACAAGAAGCTACATTAAAACAATTGTTTGAGTTGGTCTTGTCTCAGAATCGCAGTTATCTTAGGTGGAGTCATTAGGTAGTCAGACACCTGTTTTTAATGCTGCTTAAGAATATCAACATGTACCTTCACACAGATACAGATAAAGTGAACAGGTAGCAGGAAGGGGAAACAGCAGGCCTCAATGGTCTTTTTTTTTTTTTTAATGTTTATTTATTTGAGAGAGAGAGAGAGAGAGAGAATGAGCAGGGGAGTGCAGAGAGAGAGGGAGACAGAGAATCAAAAGCAGTCTCCAAGCTGTCAGCACAGAGCGTGATTCAGGGGTCATACCCACAAACTGTGAGATCATGACCTGAGCCCAAGTTGGACACTTAACCAACTGAGCCACCCATGTGCCCTGGCCTCAAACGGTCTTCTGCCTGGCCTTGATAATGGAAGGCTGAGTACTGATATGTGAGCGAGCCAGAAACTTTCTAAGCTCACCACTGATGCTTTGAGGGGTCAGGTGGAATAGACTGGGACACAGGTGGGGCTATGAAACATGTCAGTGAGGGATCTTACTGTCACAACAGTAGGCAGTTTTGCTTATGAGAGAAAGGACTGACGTGAAAAAAGGTATGCAAAATTTGACACAATATTGTTGGTAATGCATCAAATCTTCCTGGAAGCAGAGTTAGTAAGTTCTTGACCCTAGAGAAAGAAATGGGGTGCCTTATTTCCTAAACATCTTATATCTAAAGATCGGTGTTCCATTAAACCCCAACTGTCTCATGACAGGACCAGTCACAATTAGAAAAATTTAAAAAGCGGGGCACCTGGGTGGCTCAGTTCCTTAAGCAAGGAACTTTGGCTCAGGTCATGATCTTGTGGTTCATGAGTTTGAGCCCCGCATTGGGTTCTCTGCTGTCAGCATGGAGCCTGACTTGAGATCCTCTGTCTCCCTCCCTCCCTCCCTCCCTCCCTCTCTCTCTCTCTCTCTCTCTCTCGAAAATAAAATAAACATTAAAAGTTAAAAAAATTAAAAAGCATAGAAATCAAATTAAAATTTCAAAAGCGAGAATCTACAATTCTAGCAGACAAGGGGGAAGAAAAAAACGGGATGGGTTGTGTGAGGAGGTACATGGAGGCCTATTTTAGTTTATAACTGCTTCCCAAAGTCTGTCTCTCCTTAGAGTTGCCAGACTCGGGGCTTCCTCTGTTACATTTCTTTCTTAGGACTAATATGCAGTGAATCTCTTTCTTCCCAGCCCTGCTTCTCAGGTTCCCTAGACTTCTTACCCTTCGTGGTATCTTGAACCGCACTTTCCACTTGCACTCTAAGTTTCTTCTCTACTATGTTTCTCATTCTGCTCATTGCCTCCCAGATCTTCCCACCTAGGCCTATGTCCTTCTCTCTAACCACCTCAACAAAACCCTCGAGTCCCCTCTCTTTTTTGCCCAGGCACTCCCTCTGCTCCTCCTTTCTCCACCCTCTTCTGCTCTACCCCAGCCATACCCCACCAAGGAGCCTCGCGCACCCAGCTCCTGACTGTCCTCGATTTTCTGTCTTGACCCGTCTCCCGCCTTTTTAGGACCCCTTTGGCTCTCCGTTATCTTCCCCTCAACCTTGGAGCCTCGCGCCTAACTCCTCCACTACCCGGGCCATCTCCCTTCTCTCCGGCCACAGCCCAGGTGGCTACCCTCGTTCCGCCAGCCCCCAGTCCCGGTCTCCCCTTGCTTCACGCCCAAGCCCCTCAGGCCCCGCCCCCCGGCGACCGAGGCCCCGCCCCCAGCGCTTCGCCCAAGCCCCGCCCCTCACTCACCTGAGGCAGCTACGCGCGCGCGCAAGCTGGGGGGGGGGTGAGGGAGAGGGGACGGTATTGGGGAAGAGGGGGGCGGGGCGCTGGGGGTCCCCCACTCTGGCCCGAGCGGCCCAGTGCGGGGGGAGTGGGGTCACTGAGGCGGCGGCAATCGGGCCGGACCCGGGACCCGGGCACTCAGCGGCGGCGGCGGCTCCATCTCCATCAGCGGCTTCACCTGAGGAGGGACCGGCCCCCCCCACCAACCCCCCCCATCGCAGCCGTCCCCCCTCCCCCGAACAACTTCCGGTCCCACTACCAGGCGACAGGCGGCGTGGCCGAACACCGAGCGCCCCCAAGCCAGGGAGACTGCTGGGGAAAGGAAAAAGAGCTAGGGGAGAGTAGCCGAGCGCCGAAAGCTTCAAGTAGGAGAGGAGCGGTCGCGTGCGGAGGCTAACTCATGACTGCCCAGCATCTGTATTTGACTTGTAAATTAGGCGCACTTTGTATGCCCCCACTTGCCGTGGCATATCTTCCCCCTAGTGCCAAGTTTTGCCCTGCCCCTCCTAAGGCAATATTGACTTTAGCCTCTTAGAATTCTTTGCCTTTCCTGCCAAGTGTTTAGAAACGGGGACGGGCGGGAGGAGCTTAATAATGCCACTTTTAAAAATCTCTCTTGGGGGTATTCTTAGGTGAGTAACCTAAGCAACGCTACAGATACTGGCAGACCACAGAGAAGGAAGCCTCACTTCTTGACTTCCCTGAACCTGCTTCCCTTTTCCCCTTCCCCCACCTTGTTTTGTATTATCTCACTGCATATCCCAGTACCAGTGCACCTCCCTCCTGCAATATGCTCAGGCTCCAGCCTCAAGAAGTCCCCAAAGTCATAATCTTTTCTTTTTTCAGAGTTGTAGTCTTAAACAGACACTTTATTGATGTATTTAGAAAAGTGGAACTATAAAGGGGCAGGATTGCACCTCTCACAACCCCTGGCAACCAGAAGGTCGGTAGAAAGTTGCAAATACACTTTTTGTACAAATATCCACACACAGTCTTTGAAGACTCCCAAGAAGAAAAGCAAAATAAAGTGGTGATAGACACTAGAAGTGGAGGTGGGGTAGGAAGAGAAGAGTGCTTGTTTACAGAATTTCCCCACTTCTACCTCCTGCTCCAACCACTCTCCTGGGATAACAGGGATATGTAACATAGTGTCAAAGGAGAGCTGGAGCCTGGATGGAAATGTGCAATGTCCATATTTGTGTGTGATTTAGGAAGGCATAGTATAGGGTTGTGATCCAAGAAGTGGAGATGGAAGAAAAGGTTTTTCTGTGGTAACGAGGGAAAATGATGTGTGTGGAAAGGAGTTGAGAAGATGATCCTGGGGAGCGGGTAATTCCATTTCACCATCTCAGGGGGCAACATGGACGTGGACACGGTGCCAGGCATTGCTGAGCACACCTCGCAGGTTCCAGATTGGGGCCACGGTGTCTGGCTGCACATTGTAGCTGTCATCTACAGCCTTACAAACAATGTTCAATTCCTTTCTTCCAGCCGGCACAGGGGCTTGCAGCTGCCATAGTCGCCAGGCCCAGGCCTTTCGAGGACGCTGTTCCTCTCCATCCAGCTCAGCCACATGCCAGGTGAGGCCCCCATCCAGAGACACATCCACCCTGACCACAGCCCTCCCACCACCACTCCATGCATAGCCCTTGATAGTCACCTCCCCTGATTGTACAGTCTCCCCATCCCTGGGCTCTGTGATGGCTGATTGGACAGGAAGTTCCTGAATAGATGGAGCTGAGTCAAAATCTACTGTATCCCAGTCCACAGATGGAGAGAAGCCTTTATAATCCCGCCGCTGCCAGTGGCTGTAACTTTCCTCTGGTTCCACACTCACTTTGCCCAGCCATTTGACATGGCGGGCACCCACCACACCAGGAACCACCACACGCACAGGGAAGCCATGGTCACGAGGCAGAGGCTGCCCATTCATCTCATATGCCAGCAGGACCTCAGCTTCAGGATCCATGGCCCGAGCCAGAGGGATGGATGCTCCGTAGGCAGTCCCTGTGGGGTCTGAGTCCAGTCCCTCAAAGCAGACGTGGGCCTCAGTTTCACAGGGTTGGTGACCAGCCTTAGCTAACACATCACAGAGGCGTGCCCCAGCCCAGCGTGCAGTGCTAATGGCCCCTGTATTCCACTCCAGACCTCTCACTTCTTTGAACTGAGTCATCTCAGAGCGCCGGTTGCCGGCACACTGCAGAGTGACTGTGATCTCATGCTTGGGGAACTTGTACAAGTCATCCAGGGAAAGGCACAGTGACTGACCCCCAGGTGGCCCTACTACATGCAGACGATAGGTTTCTGGGTCCAGGTTAGGTACAGGCAGATGGTTCCGGGTGAAGAAGATAGGGTTAGGTGTGATATAGTTTTCTGTCAGCAGTTCAGGGGGGGGCTCTGCATTAAAGGGGCGCTGGCTGTTGACCTTCAGGGCTGGGTGACGTACAGGATCATCACTGTAGGGGTCAGAGGTCTTCAAGGTGGAAGGCACCTCGTCTTCAGGGCTCAGCTCCCCGATCTTGTACTGAGCCAGCAGCTCACGCACATGGGGCTGGTTATGAACAGCATAGAGGGCCCAGAAGGGCTCTAGAGGACCCCCTGCTGCTAGCATCAGCTTTGATGGCCCCCCAGGGTGTAGGTCCACAAATTCTGTAACATCAAACACCTCACAGCCCAGAGTCACCCAGATCCTAGTCTCAGGGCTGCTGTGAGATCTCACTTCCTCTCTTGTGTATATGTGTGGTGACTCCTGGGCAGCCTGCAGGGCAGGGGCAAGGCAAAAAAATCCATAAACAGTAAGAAGGAATCACTCTAGCTTACCCTGACCCAAACCATAAAGTCATGGCCACTGTGAAAGAGAGGTAGCAGATTCCATCTTTACTCTGCATGAAGATAGTATCACCATAGGCTCTGTGGTAATAACCTGGGTTGCCTGGGGCACTTATTAGGGCCCCTTTGTTCTTACAGTGAAGTTCCTTTCTTCTCTACTTACCTTGCACCGGTGGTCATGATAGGCCAACACTGCGCCGAGGCCTAGCAGAGTCCCCATGACTTTCCATCCCCCAGTGCTGGAGTTATCACCAGAGAAGGCAAGGCTGGGGCACTGGGGCTGAAGTGAATCATCTGTAGAGCAGGCCCGAATGCAGAGCCTTGAGGGGGTTGACTTGCGTCTGGAAGAGAGAGAGTTCATCTTAGCACACTCTTGATCATATGAAAGGGACAGTGAATGCCTGAGGTTGAGGTTGGCCATTGGTTCCTTCAGTTGGGACTTAGTTTCTTCAGGGTTGAGTGGGACGAGTGGATGAGATACGGCCTTCCCTTTCCTCCTTGGTAGTCACTATTTCAACTATCTTATCTGGTAGATAAAATATCATAAAGATAACTGGGGGTGGGGAATATGGGCTAGGAGACAAGTTCTAGAATGGGATGGCCTACCTGCAAGCCTGTCGGAGATGGGCAATCACAACCCTGTGCAGCAGCATTGTGACAGACCTGTGGGAAAGATTCCAGGATCAAGATAGGAGTTCTGGGAGGGGACGATATTAGTGAAACTTGAGGAAATGAGTGGAAGACACAGAGGAGGGTCAGCATGGTATTCTCCGGGCAAATGAAGAGACATTTTCTCTGGTAATGAGGCCAAAGGAAGGGAGTGTGTGTGTGGGGCGGGGGGGGAGGTGTCCACATGGGTCCTTAGAGAAAACCTAAAGGACTTCAAAGAGACTGTGCTGACAGGATATAAGGGAATGAGGCAGCGGTAGCGGGGGGCGGGGGGGGCGTCTTCTAGAATCACCATCCTCCATTCTCTACTCTGTCCACTACAGAGAACAATGCTCACGGCCAAGGGCCTAAGGTCAGAAGCTAAAATGTCGACTGTCCAGTTTGCTGGTTTATTATTTCCAAAGTTAGCAGAGGGCAAATGAGAGGCAGACCAACTTAAATACAGACAAAAACATGAAAAAGTTAGTGGCAGCCTAATAGGGTGAATCAGCTGAGATTCTGGAGTCAAATTGTTTTGGGTTTGAGAAATGAGCTCTACCATTAACTAGCCCCATTTCCTGGGCAAGATACCAAGTCTCTCAGAACTTGCGTCCTCATCTATGAAATGAGATCTACCCAGCAGAGTGGCTGTTAGGAGCAAACACGTAATAACATTGTTTTTTAAGGCTTTTCAGTCCCCTCTTTTCCCTCTACCAACCCTAGGAAAAAGGAAAATTGAACCCAGATGGGTACTGGGCTCCAATCAAGGGTCCTTACCCCTACCTTGTCTATGCCATTCCTGTGAACTCAACAAATTGAGAAGTTAATGGCCTTGGTGTGTGTGTGTGTGGGGGGGGGCGGGGTGCTAAAGAAGTAATTTTTCCCCACTCTGCCCTCAGCAGTTCCTTCCTTACAGCATTGAGCAGATCACTGACCCCAGGAAGACCAAAGCGAGAAAGAGAAGAGTCCCATTTGCTGGTGAAATGCTAAAGAGGGGGGCAGGCTGAGAAACTGAGAATAAGATAGAACAGGAGCAGTCTGCATTTTGCTCCTGGGCCACGGGATCCTCACTCTCCCTCCTACTTGCCCTCAATCCTAGCAGCCCACTAGAACCAGACGGGAGTGGTCCAAGTAGGGCTGACTTGCGGGTGAACTTGGTCGACCCAGTGTCCCAGGTTTGGGAGATGCAGCCTTCTGTTCCAAAACAGACGTCACCTCTCTTTTGCGGATGGTGACCCCTCACCCCCCCGGGGGCACATAGGTAGGAGGACATGTCCAACTCCAGAGCACAAGCACCCAGTCCCATGCCACTGCTCAGCAGCTGGCACAAGAGTGTATCGTAGCAACACACCGCACTCCTAAAGAGCACCAGGGCAGGGGGAGTGGAGGCGGTACTGGCAGTTTATGTTCGAACCCATGGGGTTCGGAGCACCCCTGGGGCCCATGGCCCTGGCCATCGCCCAGGTTACCCTCAGCCCTTCCTCCTCCTCTTCCCTCTCCCAGCCCCCAGCCTCCTTACCGGGTTCGGGTTCGGCTTCGGCGTCCGCTGAGTGGCTGGCTTACCCGCCCAGCTCTGGGAGACGGCTGGCGAAGGGGCGGAGCCAGCATCATGACGTTGGGCCCGAGTGAAGGAGCACTCTCTCCTCTCGGCTCATCCCCCAGCCATTGGCTGGCCTTGGGCCGCCTGCAAGCTGCTGTGCCCGCCTCCTGGAGGTCGAGGCAGGCGGTGCCACGAGGGCTCGGAGCTAAGACTGGCTGTTTTTTGTTTCCAAACCCTGCTCGACAACGAATGGGACCCTCACTGTTGTCCGGAGCCGGGCAGTGGAAGGTGACCAGGACTCCAAAGGTTGGGCTGCGAGGTGGGAGGTTTTGAGATGCCCCGCCCCACCCATAAAGCTGAGACACAAGGTGCGTTCACTGAGAAGGCCTGGGAATCCAGCCAGCTTACTCCCGGCGGTGAGCTCCGCCTCTACCCTGTTTTTGACAAACATCTGTGTTGCAACTACAACAGCCCGGTTTGTTTTTCAGTGAAAACAAGGTCAAGCGCTCAATTCTCTTATATCCAAGAATAAGAACAGATTTATGGTGGTTCAAAGACTAGTTCCCTTGAACTTGTCTATTTTCTTGCCAAAGTATGGAACAATACAAACACCCACTTTTTTTAGTTAAAAAAATCATTGTCATAACAAGGATATTTTAACACCCCCAAGTAGGAAGATTATAATCGCTCATAGTCTCAGAGTAGAGAGCACTAAGAATACGTTTGCCATTACCCTTTTATGGTTTGGTGCAGTACCGAAAACTTATTTTGTTATTGGCTTGCTGTGAACCTGAGGCAAACGTATCCCCACTGCCCTCTAGAGACCAGAAGGTTGAATTACAACCTTCCTAAGCAAAAGTCTTCATCTTTAATTTAGGAAGATAATTTCCTCTCCCTTTCTGCTCTCCTAAAGTGAAGGAGAGCTTTTGTCAAGAATCAACTTGGCAGGAGTACTAAAAGACAGAAGGAAAGGGGAACTGACAGTGAAAAGATGATTTTGGCCTTGAGGGTTTTGGAAATTCCAACTCAATTGTGTTCAATTAAATCACTGGAGAGGTGTGATGCCCAACCTATACTACCAGCCTTGAAAATTAGGCTCAGCCCAAGGATACAGAGAAATCAGTTAGGGACTGTCTGAGGCCTCAAGATAAGACTTCTCCATAATAACAGTGTCACCTTGTGTGCCCCCCACATTCTTTACATAATTGACCTTTGAACGTCAACTTCATTTTACAGAAGAAAGTGAGGCAGAGAGCAGCTGGTAGCTGGTAGATGGGATTGCAATGCCAGCTCTGTCTGGCACTAGTCCTCTTTCCTGTACTTCTGCAACGATACCTGATCTTTCTCTGTATCATTCTCCTGCCTCCCCACCCTCCATTTAGACGGTGATGGACTGAAGGGCTTCAAGTACAGTAGCAAACAAGAGCAGATCTAGGAGAAATTTTCCTGTTGGGGTGGAAGCCACATGATCAATTAAAAATACAAATTAAGTGATTTCTTTAACCTTCTTTAGGTCACGGACCCCTCTGAGATACTAGCAAGGCAAGCAAGGCACACTTTCCCTGGAGAAATGCACATAAACTATTGCAGAATACTTCAAAGGATTCACAAATACCACCTTTCCCTCCAGTCTCATCAATTGTTTGCCCAGATGTCCATAGACTACCCCCCCAATATATATTCTGTTAAGAGGCCTATAAAAATAAGTTAGGTCAGATTTGATGAACTCTCTAGTGGCCTGGGAATAGGAGCAATTAAACAGCAATAAAGGGACGACTTTCCAAATTGGGCTATTTCACTATTCAAGAAAAGATTAAAGGAAACTTATAAGAAGGTACCAAGATATAGGAGAGGGTGTGTTTCTAATTGACTAAAACACTGAATGCCTTTTCTTCCGAATTTCTAGTATTGAATAGCAAAAAAAAAAAAAAAGAAAAAAAAGAAAAGAAAAAAATAGAAAAAAAGCAACACCACTCCAATACACTTTTCTTTTTTTTTTTTTTTCCTTTTTTACTTACATTAAATACATCGGTAAATCAGCAGTCGCATTCTGTTACCACGATTGTTATGTTGGGAGAGGAAGTAAAGGGGAAAAAAGGCAAATGCTTTCTTACAAGAAAAAAAAAAGGACACCCCCCCCCTTTAAAAAAAAAAAAAACTGATCAGAAGGGAAAAAAATGAAGAGCTGGGAAATAAAAACTAAGATCTCCAAGGCCAAGAAAGCTCAAAGGAAAGCAGAAGAGCTGGTAGGAAGTAGAAGGACGACAGCAGATAGGCCCAGAAGCTAAGGCCAATCCAGTTCCTAAGGGGGCTGGGGAGGGGAGAAAAAGCCTGGAGAAATGGTTTCCCAGCTCCAAGGCAATGAAACACTTCACTCCCGTTCCATGGGGAAAGATGCACAGAGAAAACAAAGAAACTTCATTTCTAAGGAATTTACGAGAGGGATCCTAGTTCTTCCACTTATAAGGATGCACTGGGTGCTTTGAGGGGGCTAGTGGGTGCTAGGAAAGGAAGGGGAAAATGTGTGTGTTTCAGGGCCACGGGAACTAAGGCTGCCCCTGGAAAAGGAAGGGAATTGAGGCCTAAGTGGAAGAACCTAAGCTGGGTCCTTCAGAGTCTCAGCTTCAAGGATTTCTCAGCTGCTCTGGGACAGAAGGCAGTCTGCAAATCAAAGAGGAGAAAGGTTCCAATCCTAGGTCTCTGTGACCTTTCCTATCTTACTTCCCCCAATTTTACCAAAACTCTGGGCTGGAACAAGAAGGAGTTTAGAGCTCTCTCTTGCCTTGATGGCTTCGCAAAGATATCCTAAAACACCTGATGAGGGAGGTGAAGAGTGGCTAGAGATTTAGAAGGGACCAATGTCCTCTGGTGACATGAGATAGCTGTGATGGACCTTCAGTGCCAGTTGTTCCCTGTCCACAGGAACAGGTGTTTTGATTTGAGGGGTCTACGAGTAGGCCTGTGGTATTAACCCCTAGTGGTACGTGGATTAAACCACTGGCTGGGGGTGAGTATGAGGATAAGGATGGAGAGACTAAATGGAAGATACTAACAAAGGAGAAAAGAAAGAGGGCCTGATGGGAGGTGGAGGACAGAACAGACTGTACAGTGGGAATAAAGATCATACCTATTTACAGGGAAGTAGAAAAGACACAGTAATGGGTGGATCAAACTGAATGTGAACCCTAGGAAAGGATAGAAAAGCCTCCCTCCTGCCTGACACCTCTCTTCACTCCCATACCATGGCCTAGGCTATCCCAATACCGCTCTCCAGTTGCTCAGTTAATTCCCCAGGAAGGCAAACCTATACTCGAGAGCTAGGTTGGCAAGAATATAGGTTAAGAATCAGAGTTGGAGGACGCAAGCAATGGAGACTGGGCTTGAGTAGCTGCCACTGGTCCTGTTCTCTATCGCCCCTCCCCAAACCTCATATACATACTACCTTGGGTTCCATTTAATTAAAAAGGTGAGAGGGCAGGTAAATCAATCAAAACCCCCATAAAACAAGCATCCCAACTGAACTACCACCAATTAAAGTGCAAACTGCAGGGGAATATAGTGGCTGGGGCTGAGGCCATCTAAAGGCCAGAGAAAAAAATGCATATGTATAAATCAGAGGATGGGTATCAGAAACTGGTCCCTCCTCTAATTAGATCACAGCAGAGCCAAAGATGCAGGCAACCAGTGAAGATTCTTTGGAGGACTCTGGGGTCCAGAGTCTCCCCCACTATGGGGGAGAAGCTACCTAAGAGGCTGGGTGAGGGGGAAATTAGGCCTTGGAACAGTTCCAGAGCCACAGGTGACACTGCATCTCCACCTCCTCTACCTCTGCCCAGTTAGCTAACAACACAACTCCCACCTGGTACCCGAGAGCTTGCCTTCCCATTCTCACCTCTACCTAAAAACACCCTCCACAAGGCCAACTCATGGAGACTGCAGTGTTTTCAAATATGAGAAACTCCAACCAAATAAAAACAAAAAGTTTCCTTACTCCCTCCCGCTCTGAGCCTTACTCTCCCCCAGGGCCCTTAATGTGACTGAACTGGAAACCTCCTTCCTCAGTTCCTGGGTTCACCACCTTCTCCATCCTGGGGAGAGGAGGAAAAGGGGATCAAGAACAGGGATTGACCAAAAGCAGAAGGGGAAGGGGCAGGAGACAAAAAAATGTTTTCTGAAAAAACGAGGAGGAGGAGGAAAGATAAGTAGGTCACTGTCTTGCACCTATAATACAAAGTGAAGAAAGTTTGTTTTGGAAGGTAAGTCCTGGGGGATCTGACCCCCAAGCCCCAGAGTAGGGGTAGGAGGCCAGTGGCAACAGCTGCCTGGTGTTGGTTGCTGAAGCGTTAAAAAGTGCCATGACGGAGCTGTCAGGAGGCAGCCCTTGGGAGCCAGGGCTCAGTGTGCTGTTACCGTAGGGGCTGTGTGCTGAGGGGTGGGGATGGAGGTTATTTCTTAGCTCTCGTGCTAGCTCCATACTTGTTTGCTGCTAGCCACCCCCTCAGTTGCTACAACACTGGCTCTTGTTCTGCTGGGACTGCTCATGGAGATCCACACCCCGGCTTCGGCCTGCTGCACCCCCCAGATTCTGGGGTTCACTCTTTGGCAGCTTCTTAGCTAGAGATAAAAAGAGAAGGGAAAAAAGTATGGCAGATTTTACTCATCTCTCCAAAAAGACTATTGGATGGGGGAGTGATATGGGGAAAGGGGAAATGTGAGAGATTAAAAAAGAAATGTTCTGAAGAGGGAACAGTTCACTGTTTATAAACTACAATGAAGACGGGGATGGGGGTGGGTGGAGGGATGAGGGTAAAGCTGTAGCCAAAGGATGGAAGTCATAATGGAAAGTTATTTCCATACCTAAAGTTTTCACAAGAAGGGACACTCCATTGTCTTTATGACTTGGGTTAGTGATCTTGCCTAGAGGCCAGGCAAAAGGACAGGAAGACCCCAGGCTGTTCTGACCTTACCTATTGCCAGGAAGAGATCGTTCACGTTCATAGCTGTCTTGGCTGAAGTCTCCATAAACAATAAGCTGTTGTCATCTGCATACGCCTGGGCCTCCTGTAAGGGGTGGGTGAACTGGTACTCAGAATGCAGGATAGAAACATGTACTGCCTTTCCACTCCCATGTAGCACCCAGAGCTAGGCAGTATCCTTGTTTTAATTGCCCTCTGGGCCAGCTGGCTCTGGACTTGTATTTTGGTGATGACTTCCTCAAGGATAACTCATGGTCTAGATCATTTAATACAACAAGCAGATGTCAGGAGAAGGTAAATTGGTTGGGGGCTCTTAGGTTGTGACAGTTGAATAGTCCCTTACCTCAAATTCAACTGCTCCCTCTTTCATGTTTTCACATTAATGCCCCTATAGCTGGTACTCTGCTACCCCTCTGCTCTGAAATTTTTTTCTGACTCCTGTAAAATCCCCTGGCTGTCATTAGGGTCACAGTGTTGCTGTATGTAACTTGGTGTGGAACTGGGGAATGAGATGATAAATGTCCTTAGATGAGATTTTCAGAGAGGGCAGGTTTGGGGAAAAAAGGTCCCAAGTACAGAGAAAGTGTGTAACAGAGGGATTCTACGGGCCAACTTACTTCATACTCCACCATGCGCTTATTGGCCAGGTCAGCTTTGTTCCCCGCCAGGGCAATAACGATGCTAGGACTGGCCTGTCGCTGTAGTTCCTTTACCCATGTCTTCGCTCGGGCGAAGGTTTCCTAGGAAAGAAAACATGAGGAAGAGAAGGTAGGCCAGAATGACTGCCAATCTAGGCCCATCACCTTTTTCTTCTTCTTCTTCTTTTTTTTAAGATTTTATTAAGTAATTTCTATACACAACTTGGGGCTTAAACCCACAAGCCCAAGATCAAGAGTCACATGCTCCACTGACTAAGCCAGTCAGGTGCCCCAGGCCTATCACCCTCAAAACCCTGTCTCAAAACTCACTTCTTCTAGGCAGCCTTCACTCACCGAAACCAACTGTGTCTGATAACTCATTACCTCTGTCTTACCAGCACTTGGAAGTAGAATCTGTACTCTTCCTAATTTAATTCCTATAAATAAAAGCGAGAGAATCTTCTCAGCCTGCTTACCTGATTAGTAATGTCATAAACCACAATGGCAGCTTGGGCACCTCTGTAGTACATGGGGGCCAAGCTATGGTATCGCTCCTGCCCAGCTGTGTCCCATATTTCAAACTTGACTGTTGTGTCATCTAGACAAACAGACTGGGTGAGGAAGGCCGCTGTGGATTAGAGAATGGAGGGGAAGAAGTTGTAAGTGGGAGGATCAATGGGAAAATCTCAGCCCCTTTCACAGTATCTCCATTCTCAGACTAAGACTAGTCACCACCCAGGTCATTCAGCTAAGGAAAAGGTTTAGAGTTCCTCTCCTTATATATAGGTCTTAGAACCAGGATTAAGACTGCCCTTGGCTAAGTCCTTCCTGCCAGAAGTTTATCTAAGGAATGGGGGCACAAACTATGAAGGTTAGAAGAAAGGACACTTATCTCTCTTCTAACCAAAATAGAAGAATAAGGGATAATGACAGAAAATAAGTTTCAGATAAAAGTCACATCAATAATTAATTAGAAGACATTAAAGACCGATGGCCGATCCCACCATTATCAATATAATTTGGCTGTTACTTTTTTATATAATCTTCTGCTGGTCTAAGAACACTGCATTTCCAAGGTAACTAGTAAAAGTAGGGAAGGAGTAACATGGGAGTTCTCATAAAAGATCTTTTACTGAATTAGTGGCCTTGGGAGTAGTAGAAGGGAGAAGATAGCAAAGATGGGAAAGGCAGATGCCTTTTACCTTTTATATTTGGTTCCAGCCTCTTTTACGGAGTTTTTCAAACACACATGTCTATACCACCACCAACCTCACCCTACTTCCAATACTGATCAGTACATCTAGGGTAGGGCCCAAGCTTGACAGGATAAAAGTATTCCCCAGGTGATTCAGATGTACACTTTTGATTATGAATCACTGCTTTAAACCAACCTTGCTCAAGATGACACTCAACTAAACTTCAACTGGATTAAGAGGAAAGTGAGAGGAAGGAAACAGACTGAGATTTAAAAAAAAAAATCAGTGATTTTTCTTGGTGTGCAAAGGTCAACCTTTCTAATTTTCTTCTAGGAATATATATATATATATATATATTTTTTTTTTTTGGCATTATGACAATTTTTTTTTTTTTTTTTTAAATAATGGATTTCCATTCCAGAGAGCTAAAAAGGCCAGCTCCACAATCAGGTCCCTATATCTCCCTTCAAAAAGCCTCACTACACACTGAACCTCCACTTTCTCTGAGGTACTCACCTCCAATGGTGCTCTCCTGGTACTCATGAAACTGCCCTTTGACAAAACGTAATACCAGACTAGACTTCCCCACTGCAGATTCACCCAGCAGGACCAATTTGAACTGGCATATTTTGCTGGCCTGGGGCTGCCCATTGGGCCTGGCTGTGCTTCTGCTAGTCATGGTTAGATTATCAGAATGGGAAAGGGTGGAGGGAGGGGGGATGCCACAAAGCGGCAAAGGGGGAGGGGGAAAGGGGAGGGGACTTCAGGCTTCAACAGTCCTGCAAGAAAAAAAAAGTGGGTAAAATTAAACATAGGGCCATTGTTGCTGCAATCAGTTAAAAAAAAAAAAAAGATAAATCTCTTAATTTCCTTGGTCCTATGAGAACTTAACTATTAAAATTAACCACCATTAAAAGATTATCCCACTGAGAGGGTCCCAGGTAGCTGACACTTAGTGGTAAGAATGGGGAACAATAAAAATAAGAAATGTGTCGGAAGTGGAGTTTGCCCTACTACTTAATCCTCAACTGCCAAGGGAGCTGAAATGCAGAGACTGAAAACGGTGTGAAATAAGTTTATTTCCCATTAATTTCCTACCAGGTCTTCAAACAGCAAATTGATGTACGGTAGCTCCCGTTATCTTGTTGGTATCCTGGTGCTGTACTTTTCCTCACCCCCATCTTTTTTCTAGCTCTCAAAATGAGAGATGCACTCTAGGGGTGTGGGATGAGTCACCCCTCCCTAGGAGAAGAGGGGTAGCTTCTGGTTCCATATCCTTCATACATAAGCAGTCTTCTTGTTTCTGAAACTCTAACCAGGGTCCATTTGCCAGAAAATCTGTTCTTTCTCATTTCTGGTCAAAGGTGAGTAGAGAAATAGACCATAGACCACTAACAGACCACATTCAGCATCAACTCTTTCACTTTGTTTCTGCCACCTCTTCAAGTCTGAGAATCTATCAAGTCTAAGAATCAGTAGGCTTGACCTACTCTCAACTTGCAGCTGTCTTCCTGGTGCCTAGGGATTAGATTACTCTCCACACTAAATGGGCCTAACAGCCATCGCTCTCCAAGTTAGAGGCAGACACAAGCAGGAGTCTCCAGAGATGATGCAGGGATAAGTTTTCAAGCGACAAACATCTGATGAAAAGAAACTGAACTTTTTTTTTTTTTTTTTTTTTAACCTCCTAAGGGGCTTGGAAAGCTGGTGGTAGAGGAGGAGACAGAGACATAAGTGGGGACTTCTGAGAGTCTAGTCATCCAGACCTGAATATATTTTCATCATTCTGACCCTGAGGAGAATATGAGATTCAAAGGTATTTGCATGATTAGAACATGCAAAACCTCTAAAACCTAAGCATTGCTTTGGTTGTACTTTGTTCAAATTAATCTTTCCTTTCTTCAAGGCTGATTCTAATGACTCCATAAATTTATTTTATGGCATGTGGGGAAACATTATTTTGTCACTATAGCAAGATGCTTTGGAATCAAATCAGGGTTAACAATCTGCAATTCCAGTAAAGATAGTATAGACAGAAAAATTAAAAGGAGGCAGTGCAGAGGAACAAGGACTATGAAGTCTAATTCACTGGGTTTATTTTACAGTTTTGCTTACTCGTTGTGAAGCTTTGGGCAAGTTACTAAATCTGTGCATTCATTTCATCTATAAAATGGGATAATAGCCTATGAGCACTTTATAAAGCTGTTGTGAGGATTAAATGAGATAACAGAAATAAAGAAGTATTGACAGGGACATCTGGGTGGCTCAGCTGGTTAAGCTTCTGACTCTTGATTTCAGCTCAGGTCATGATCTCACGGTTGTGAGACTGAGCCCTGCCTTGGGCTCCACACTCAGCATGGATCCTACTTGGGAGTCTCTCTTCCTTTTTCTGCCCCTCTCCAGCTGGCATGTGCTCTCTCTCAAAAAAAAACAAAAAACAAAAAACTTAAAAACAAGTATGTGACAAAAAGTGCTCAATGAATATTAAACTAATTTTTTTTTTTTTTTTGAGAGACAGAGTGTGAGCTGGGGAGGGGGAGACAGAGGGAGAGGAAGGAGAGGAAGAGAAAGAATCTCAAGCAGGCTTTATGCCTAGCGTGGAGATGTGGCTTGACACTCAATCTCTGGACTGTTCCATCTAATGATCCCAAGATAATGACCTGAGCTGAAACCAAGAGTTGGATGCTTAATCAACTGAGCTGTCCAGGCGCCCCTCATTAATGACATCAAGAAATTTCTGAGCCTTTTCTTCCACCTTTGTTAAATGGAAAAAACACCTACCTCATAGAGTAGCAATAATGATTAAGGAAAAGATGTAGTTAGTATAGTGCTAAAAAAGAAGTATTGTTGGGGAGCATGGGTGGCTCAGTCAGTTAAGCATTCAACTCTTGGTTTCAGCTCAGGTCATGATCTGTTATGAAATCAACCCCCCACATTAGGTTCTACACTGACAGAGTGGTGCCTGCTTGGGATTCTCTCTCTGCTTGCACTCTCTCTCTCAAAACAAATAAACTTAAAAAAACAGAAAAGATCAATGAGAACCCCAAAAAGTCCCAAAGTAGACTAGATTAAGACAGAGGAATGTAAGAAATTACTCTGATTCTACTGGGTATTTTATATTCCCCAGACCAGTGAGTTCTACGAATCTAGATAAATATAGGCTATTTTGTGGTGCAGTTTTCAGTGGCTTATGATGAAATGATAAAAATAAAGACGATATAGCAAGTTTTTCATAAAGCTGAATTTATTCAATTTAAAAGAATATTCTCTGTAACAAGATTTCTAACTTCTTACTTTCTTAGTATCAATTTCCTCTCAAAGGTAAATATATATATTATATAGAAAAACTTCTAACACCTGTTGTTAAAGTTGTATAACAAAACACAAGGTTGGATCCTATATCTGTAAAACAAAATTCTGCATATAAAAGAATATGGAAGAATACATACTCATCTGTTAATAGTGGTTACCTCTGAGGAGAGTGGGATTGAGGAGGGTGTTATTTGAAGGATTTAAGATCTTTTCATTCTATAAAATTCTTTTTTTAAAACAGGAAATATATATTTAAAAAAATTTTTTAAGGAAGCATATTTTTTAAAAGCTTTCTAAATGACTTTTTTTTTAATGCTTTAAAAATATAATGGTGTTGACAGTCAATAGTAAGCCTTCTAAATACCCATATGTGGGGGGGAACCCTCAAATTTAAAATAATTGGTCCACAAAATCCTAAATTCTGAGAACCAGTACTGCAAGAATCAGTATTAATTAGGTTCTTAGCCACTGATCACAATTTTTTAGCTCTTTTCATTCTCAAACTGTGGGTTATAAATCAGTAATGACCTTGAAATCACTTGGTGGATCATGATCAGTATATTTAAAAAAGGGGGGGTGGTGTGCCTAGGTGGTTCAGTCAATTGAGCGTCTGACTCTTGATTTTGGCTCAGGTCGAGATCTCGTGGTTTGAGAGTTTAAGTCCCATGTCAGGCTCTGTGCTAACAGTATGGAGGCTGCTTGGGACTCTCTCCTCTCTCTCTCCAAATAAATAAGTGTTAAAAATTTTTTTGGTTAAAGGAGAAAATAACAAATATATCGCAAATAAGAATCATTTGTGAAAATGTACACACACTGAATTATGATATAAAATGTTTTGTTTTATTAGGAGTCATGATTAAAAAAAAAAAGTTAAGGGGCGCCTGGGTGGCTTAGTCGGTTAAGCGACCGACTTTCACTTAGGTCATGATCTCGCGGTTCGTGGGTTCGAGCCCCGCGTCGGGCTCTGTGCTGACTGCCAGCTCAGAGCCTGGAGCCTGTTTCAGCCTGTGACTCCCTCTCTCTCTGACCCTCCCCTGCTCACCCTGTCTCTCTCTCTCTCTCTCTCTCTCCTAGAAATAAAAAAAACATTAAAAAAAAAAATTAAAAAAAAAAAAAGTTAAAAAAAAAAAAACTGCTCTGGAGAGGCCTGAGAAGGGAAAGGGAGGTTGATAAGGATGGGAGGAAGTCTATAGGCTATGGCTACTATTATAGCGCTTCTAGATGAAATTAAGATGAGGGCTGAATATAGCTCTCCAGGGGTCAGAGGATTCTTCAACCTTGCTACTAAAGTTATGACACAACTATGAAAACGGGGAGCCAAATCAAACAGGGACAACCCTGTGTAGTGCTGATAAGGGCTTTGGAATCAAGCAAGGTTGGGTTTTATGCTCTGCTTTGCCAGTTATAATCCACTGTGATCTTACACTACTCCCTTTGCCTTTCTGAGGCTTCCTTGGATCTTTGGGGAGGGAGGGGGTTGGAAAAAGTAGTAAAGAGCAAAATTTGAATTCACTTCCAAAGTTCTGGGTACATTTAAGAAATTTCTGGGGTGCCTCAATTAAGTGTCCAACTTTGGCTCAGGTCATAATCTCATGCTTCGTGGATTCAAGCCCTGTGTCAAGGCTCTGTGCTGACAGCTCAGAGCCTGGAGCCTGCTTTGGATTCTGTGTCTCCCTCTCTCCTTGACCCTTCCCCGCTTGCGCACACGCGTGCTCTCTCTCTCTCAAGAATAAATAAACATTAAAAAATTTCTTTCTCTTAGAGATTCTCAGAATCTGTGATGAATTATTTTTAAAACACATTTATGTGGCACTTCATTTATATATACAGTTTCATAAGAAAAGATAGGCCATCATAACTCTATACTTTAGAACAGAAAACAGATGATAAAAGAGGAAAAAATACTCGATGATAAGCTAATCAAGTTTCCTTTAGGTGACATACATATACTATACTCTTTAAGACACAACAGGAAAAGTTACTAGATTCTTTGACTTATTTGCTCACCTTTTCTTTTCTTTTCTTTTCTTCCTTCCTCCCTCCCTCCCTCCCTTCCTTCCTTTCAAGTAAGCTCTACATCCAAGGTGGGGTGAACTCACAACCCCAAGATTAAGAGTTGCATGGTCTACCTGCTGAGCCAGCCAGGTGCCTCAATTATTTGCTTACATTTTCAACTATTTCAAAGCATGTGACCCAAGGGGTAGAACACTAAGCATCAATGTTACTACTTTACAAGGAGAAAACATGGGAGTTAGAATGGACTGAATTCTCATAGGCAGGCATATGGCTCTAGGCCTGGGAAAATAGTAGGGAGTAGGGAAAATGTGGAGATAGGAAGCAGTCACAAGCACATTCAGGTTACAAAACCCTTGTTATCCCCACAGACAAATCAGCAAACTTTCTTGCTACTAAGCAACCTTGGATTGTCACAGATTAGGAACTACTGGGTTAGAAAAAACTACCTCCT